CGGGGGTGGAGGGGACTCGCCCCGGGAGCCCGCTCACCTGCACAGCAGCACCACCACGGAGTCGGCCTTGGCCGGGATGAAGCCGAGGAGGAAGACGTTCCGGCAGCCGCAGTTGTAGCACTCCAGGACCGTCTCCCCCAGGGGCCCATCCTTGTGCAGCGTCACCTCTTTGCATTTTGCCCTCACGAGGTGATTTACAATGTGGCTGAAACCAGGAAATGATAAATAGTTAACACCCAAGCTTGGCTTTTCACCACTTCCAACGTGCGGGCCTCTGTTCAAAGTTCCGGTACCGCTCACGCTCCATTAGCAGGGGCGGTCACACCTCATCCATCTGGCGCCCCAGGGGACCAGCCCGCCCCGACCGGCTCCCCACTGAGCGCAAAATCAATCCCAACTCCAGCCACTTGTACGGAGAACTTCCGTAACACGGTTCACGGAGTTCCCGCGCTGCTTCCTTTTATGAAATCCAACTCGCCGGCCTCACTGAGCCTCCGACCGGGGCCAAGCCTGCGCCCTGGACGGCCAGGCTGTCCCGTCCTCCCCAAGGTGGCCTCGCGCTGCCACTTCTGTCCCAGTCACCTCCCAAAGCCCTCTGCCCACCTCCAGGAGCCTGGGCCCCTCCTAATTTGCTGCAGACCAGGAAACCCGATAACTGAACATTACTAGAAACGCGAGTGCAGTGAAAACACAGGGTGGGGCACATCTGAGGCCGAGGGCCGGGCTGCCCGCAGCTGGCTGGGCCAGCCCACAGTCTCGTCGGCCAAGGGCTCCCCCGACACTGGAGGGGCCGCAGTCCCGCCTTCAGGCCCTCCCTGAGCCTCTGCCCGGACTGCTGCTGTGCACGGTGGCCAGCCGCTCTGACTGTGCCCTCTCCCCCTCTGGAAAACCCTCCCATGGCAGCGGAAGCCAGCCTCTGACTCACGCTGCCCTCAGCGTCCCCAGATGGCCCAACTCCACTCGAGAGTGGCCACCAGAGGGCACCTGACCAGGGCCAGTGAGTGACTTCCTGCGGCTTTTGTGCGCCTCGCCCTCATGCAGGCGCAGCTGGCCCCTCCACTCACTTCCCTGTTCTTGGTCATGCTGCTCGGAAGCTGGGGCTGCCAGCCCCGGGAAGTGTCAGCTCCCTGCCTTCCCTGCACAGGAGGAACTGACACGAACTTGACAGCACTGAGCCACCGTGGGGGTTCCACGCAAGGGGCACGACCGTCTCTGGTTGCCCTGAAGATTCATATGTGTGTGAGAGAGATTTCTGTTACAGGGTGTGTGCTTGCCAGAGACAGAGAGACAGACATCACCCCTTCCCCCCACCCCCAGGGAATGGCAACGCCTCAACCTCCTCTCCTTCATTCTCCTCTCAGGACTTTGGGGACGCACACGCATGCGTCTGGTGTGAGCTTTAAGCCACCGAGTCCAGGCCTGGAACTGCAGTCGACTACGTGGGAGTCCAGGGCCGTAACCTTTACACCACCTGCTGGTCCCAAAGATGCTTTTCTTTTCTTTTTTTTTTTGGAGAGGTTTTTGCTATAGGGCACGTGCGCTCGCCAGACAGAGAGACAGAAAGTGAGAAATCACCCCCAGGGGGGATGGCCACGCCACAATCCCTTCTCGGGATCGTGGGCACACACGCACACGCGCCCGGTGTGAGTTTAAGCCAGCAGTTCCGGGACACGAACCGCGGTCGACTACGTGGGAGTCCAGCGACATAGCCCTTATGCTAACTGCCGGTCCCCCGAAGATGCTTTTCTTGTAAACACCCGTGAAGACCCCGGCCCCGACCCTGTTTGCCCAGAACACGCGTCCAGCCCTCTCCAGGGACGGGAAGTCCGACTACCTTGCCCCTTTCCCTGCGCGGCCACAGCTGCCGACGGCAGGGCGACCGGCCCATACACCAGCGACATAGCCCTTATGCTAACTGCCGGTCCCCCGAAGATGCTTTTCTTGTAAACACCCGTGAAGACCCCGGCCCCGACCCTGTTTGCCCAGAACACGCGTCCAGCCCTCTCCAGGGACGGGAAGTCCGACTACCTTGCCCCTTTCCCTGCGCGGCCACAGCTGCCGACGGCAGGGCGACCGGCCCATACACACACGCCTGCCAAATGTGCACCTCGGAAAGGACCCCGCTTCCTGGCGGGCCCCCTGGCCTCACCCCGCCTCAGCAGAATCATGCACTATGGGCGAGACCCATGGCAGTGCAGACAGGCAGGGCCCCCCCGCGGGGG